CCATAAAACCCCACTCGGCAGCAGAATGTGACACTTTGATGCTCCCCGACACCGCGAGAGGCCGCTCGTGGGACATAGAGTCAGACAGAGAGAGAGAGAGAGAGAGAGAGAGAGAGAGAGAGCGAGCGAGCGAGCGAGCGAGCTAGAGAGAGAGAGAGAGAGAGAGAGAGAGAGAGAGAGAGCATGCGTGCGTGCGTTCTGTGTGCGCCGCGCCTAGCGCCTCAAGGCAAAAGCTCGCTGCTCGTCGTTGAGGCCCTTCAGCTTGAGCCAGGCGTTCAGCTTTGGTGCAGCGCCGAAAGGCGGCGTCCCTGTCCACTGGTGCTGCATGGCGGAGGAGGTCAGCTGCTTTAGCAAAGCCTTCCACGGCTTGCCGCGGCCATTGCCGCTCGCCCAGTGAAGGCAGGCGGCAGAGAGGAGGGCGTCGTCGATCTCCTGAGCACCGAAGCTGTGGCCGAGCGAATCGGCGTACCGCAGAAGCTCGGGCGCCTCCTTGCCCTTGCACAGGGCCGCGGCGAGCGCGCGTACCTCGAGCATCTCGTCGCCATCCGACGGTCCTGAGAGCACCCCCCAGCGAAGGAGGTCCGCCAGCAGGCGGCACAGGTCGGAGAGCGACGTGACCTCTTCCGGCGCAGTTTGTGCACGCCTCGAGATGTGGAACGCGATGGCGGCCACCTTGCCCTCGCGCACCAGCTTGCACGGCTCCGGCTTGAGGTGCGTCTCCTCGATCGTCATGCACAACTTACGGTTGTACAGGGCGTTGTCGCTGTTGACAGCGACTGACCTGCGGCCATCTGACAGGGTGGGGTGGCTGCCAGCAGGGCGACGCGCAGGCGGACCGCGCACCACATCTCGGAGTCGCCGTTGCGGAAGGCCTCGTGCAGCAGGTGGATGAGCGCGACGAGCACATCGATAGCGGCGAAGTCGCGCGCCTTCACCTTGCGGAAGAGGGTCTCCATGTCGCTCCCATTGTCTTCGTCCTCCTCCTCGGACCCGCCGTCGACCTCGTTCTCCGCCTCGAGCACCTCCCCTCCCTCGTCCTCGTCCACGAGCACCTCCCGTCCCTCGTCGTCGCCCTCGCTCTCGTCCGCGAGAAGCTGTCGCCAGGTGACACCCTCCAGGCCGTCGTCCCGCCTCGCGCAGAGAAGGAGCGCCTTGCACAGGACGGGGTCTATGCCCGACACTGCATGGCGCACGTCGGCCACCGACACGCCCTCAGGCAGGCTGTCTTCGTCCGACATGAGTGCCTCCAGCGGCCCTCTGCCGTCGCCGAAGCTTTCGCGCGCAGCGGATTTCTTTATTTTTGTTGGTTCTCACGGGCCCTACTGCGTTGGTGTCCAGTACTGCTGTCCAGTCCTGCTGTCGAGTGTGTGCCGCCAAGGCGGGACGCACTCAGGGACAGTGGCGACGAGACGCGGCTCGAGGGGCGGCTCCCGCGAAGGCACGGCTGGCAACCGTGGCGCGGGGCTCTTCCTCTAAAAGTCGGGTATGGCTCCGCCCGCAACTCTCTCGCTGACACGCGCGCCCGCCGACCTTACGACGGGTGCGCTGTGCGGTCGCACGCCTCCCAAGTCATATGCCACGGCGTGCGATCTAGAATCAGCACACGCGCCTCTGCTTGCATACACACATACATTGGATTGTCATCGCCTGTGAGTGCGAGATAGGGCTAGCCGCAGGCAGCTAGCCCGTGAGGAGGGCGTCCGTAGACACCTCACTAGACCCCACACACGGTCTCGTCCGTGCCTTGCCGGCCGGTGAGATTGCTAGAGGTGGAGCAAGCCCGCTCTAGCCTCGCATATCAGTTCCTGTCGTCTGTTGTTTGTTGTGCCCTTGTTTGTACTCCTGGCACCATGGAGTGCTGGGGGGGGCGACAGGGAGGATGTGGCCTTGATTTATGTGTGCGCCAACTCAGGGTGTGTGGCAGCCAGCTGGCTGTGTGTCTTGTGAGCCTGTTTGTGTCTGTGTGTCGCTCGTGCGTGTCGTCATCATCTGTCCAGCGTCCACCCATACCGCACGTTGGTGTCCAGTCCGAGCCTGGCTGTTCTTCACCTTACTACCTACCTACCTACCTCTCCTAACTAACTACGACAGCGGCGCGGAGTAGACTGGAGCAAGTCACCACCTTGCGGCCTCAGAGCGTGTGCCTCTGAGGTAGGTAGGTGAAGGCGTCGGTTGTGTGTTTGTGTTGGCTAGCTATTTGGTCTGGCCGGTTTGCTGTGTGTGGCGGCGCTCTGGAGGGGAGGCGTCCACGTTGAGGACCGGCGTCTGACGTCGCGCCTACCTGGCTGTAACAGCTTCTGCCAGCTCGAGCGCACAACCCTAACAAACGGCAAAAACAAAAAATCGGTGCCACTCCAGCACACAGGACGAGATGGAAATGGTGGAGGACTCCTCTGCAGCTGCGAGGCCACGCCGCTCCAGCGCGGTCGACAGTGCGGCCTCTCAGGCCCTAGCTCGTGCCAAGCCAGGAGCCTTCGCCAGGTCGTGTGAAGAGCAGCGATGATGTAGTGGTGAGTGGTCCCGGGCCCTGCGGGGAACCTAAGTCGACGCAAGTTACGGGGTGTGGACCCTGAGTTGAACAGGGGTTGTGCGCTGGGCCCTCCTGCTCCGCCGCAGGCGCCTGTTGATAGGTCCATGTGATAGCCCTGGATGGGCAATGCATACGCCTCACTGGACCTCAGATCGCCCGACCGCGTCCCGGTGCTCTGCCGTCGGATTTGTGACGCCGCCGCACCGCGCCGCGGCCGGGGGCCCTCCGGAGGCCGAGGATGGCCGTGGCGGACCGGGACGAGCTCTGGGAGGGAGGGTGTCAGTGAGTATATTGTAGAGACTAGCCATGTGCACAATAACTCTCTGTCTAGCTAAGCGAGGGGAGGCGATTCCGGGGCCGTACAGCAGCTTGACGTGCTTCGCCGGCGTGCGTCCCGGAGCGGTGCCGGAGCGCGGCGAAATCGGAGGACACCGTCACCGACGAGCGCGTTGGAGTATTCACTCCGGACAAAGACGGCCGCACGCACACGAGCTGCGGTCGTGCGGCCGTCATAGCGGCGAGGCGCGGGACCGTCTGTGGCGAGGTGGGCCGTGTCCTCCGATTTCGGTCAACTCACGGGCCACACCCTTTAGTCTGTGAGCTGGACGAGGGGGCTAGTGGTGCGCCGATGGCGGGTCAAGTGGTGAAGTGCTCCCGGGAGTCGTGGTTGGAGGCCGGAGGAACACTACGCGCACTAACTTAGTGTGCGGAAGTGAGTGCGTCCAGCCGGCCGCGAGGGTAGTGGTCCGGCGGGCCGGCCGCGCTCGTAGTGCCCTTCGCCGGCGGACGGAAGCGGGCTCGGTTACTCCGCCCACTACGTTAGTGCGCGTAGTGGGTGGGCCGCCTTCTAGTGGACGGCGAGGCCGTAGCCGGTGCCCCGGCCCTGCGGGGCTGCGGCGCCGCCCTAGTGAGTGAGTGCTCGCCGACCCTTCCCGCACTAAGTCGGCATCGCTGTTGTGTCAAAAAGAGCTGGGGAAGGCAGGCCCTGACCAAGAGTGGGCATATAGAAAGTCTCAAGATTCTCTTCCTCTGTGCTAAAACCTCTTTCTGCGTGTTGCCCGCGCCTTGTCCGTCGCGTGAATCTATTGCGCCGCGAATTTTTTATCTGCGTCATTTCCTGTGCAGCCATGAGACGCTGTGTCGCCATTCGATGCGCTGAGGACCGTGGCCGAGCGCACAGAGATAGAGAATTCGCCGTGTTTTCCGGGCGACCGTGGACGGCGCGCAAGCTTGCACGGGTCGGCCCAAGTTTGCACGGGTCGGCGCAAGTTTGCACGAGCTCGCGGACCGGCGTCAACGCGATCGCGCCATGTTAGGGAGACGTAGGCTGTGTTGGAGTGCCGCCGGTCCGACCGGTGAGTGGGGCCCTCCCCGCCCCTGCTCGGCGGCTGCGCCCGTCGCTTCTCTCGCGCCGTCTCTTCTTTGTGTACTCAGCGTCCGGTGAGCGGGCTCCCACCGCACACACCCCTTCTCCCTCGCCCTCGCCTGTGCCCTCAGGTCGCTTGCCCCTCCCGAGGCACCCGCCGCGCCGCCAAATAAACCGGCCATCCCCACACCGCACTCCGCCACTGCACGCGACCACCGCACGCGTCCGCGTGCCACACACAGGTGCGAGGATGCGGCTGAGAGCCGAGAGACGGCATGCCGTGGCATGCCTGATATGTTCGGCGCCGCTGACGTCCGGTCGAGATCACCTGTGATCACCCGAGATCACCCGAGATCACCCGAGAGCGCCCGAGATCAACGAAGGCGCTCCCGCCTCCTCGCGCCTCCCCTCCTCTGTGCTTCGTGATCGTCCCCTGCGGCTCGCACTCCTCTCCTCTCCCCACCCTGCTCTCCTCCTCTCCCTCTTCTCCCCCCCCCCCCCCCCCTCCCCTTCTTCCCCCAACTCACCGCGCGCCGATTGCTAACGGCACCGCCGCTTCCGCGGCTTGTAGGTCACTCAACGTCTGCCTCATTTCTGCTACATGGCGCCCCCCCACGCGCCCACGACACGCCCACGACGCGCCCACGACACGCCCACACGACACGCCCACGACACGCCCACGACACGTCCACGACAGCCCACGACGCGCCCACACGACACGCCCACGATATGCCCACGACAGCCCATGACACGCCCACGACATGCCCACGACACGCCCACGACACGCCCACGACGCGCCCACACGATACACGCCCACGACACGCCCACGACACGCCCACACGATACGCCCACGACACGCCCACGAC